CCCCAAAACCCCAAAACCCCAAAACCCCAAAACCCCGTACCATTGCTGCAAAATTGAAACCGTCTAGACCAGTGAAACGTTATATGATTATTTTAATTAGAGTTGTTCACCATTGGCTTTCGTAGACCTCATCCAAGTTTGAATGGAAGCTTAAAAGCCGAGAGCAACTTTTTAAGACTCTTCAATATTGTGACGAGTCTTTTTATGCACTTTCATATTAAATTTAGTCGAGTACATTTTGTGGCAAATATTACATCTGAACTTCTTATCAGATCTACCAGTACGACGATGGATCTTCATATGTCTCTTGAGGTTGCCCTTTTGAGCAAACCTCTCAAGACACTTGGAGCATTTGTAGGGTTTCTTGAATGTATGGACAGAGGCATGTTCGATGAAATTCTCGGTGTTGAAGAACTCCAACCCTCAATTTTTATAACGACATGCATATACCCTGCACTTCTCTCCTGTCTCTTCATCAATTCTGGTGAAGGACTCATGAGGGTATTGGTTGATACAACTTGTCCTGTTAAAATCTGGATTTTCAGATTGACTTTCTACAAATTCTTTTTTGTCTGATGAATTTGATCAGATATCAGAGCTTCATGTGAATTTGAGAGACTGGTCATTCTGGACAGATGTTCTCAGATATCCGAATTCTTCAGCTACTTCTTCGTTAGTTTGAGTGCTGAGCAAGGCAGACATCGATGTGTTTCAGATACAATATTGATTCAGCAAGTCAGCTCCATATCTGGGCAAGCTCGATTCAAAATCAGATATTTGTACCTGCCCCCATGTCATGTCTGAAACTGTCACTGCTAAAGTGTTCAATGAAAAGGTGGGAACCGGTGCTTCCAGCACCAATGTTGATGGGTTAATAGGTAAGTTCAGTGAAATTGGGAACTCCTTCGGGATTTGAGTATTAATGCAGCTCATTTGGTTAGTTAGGCTTAATGTTGAACTAATAATTTATTATTCGTTTCGTTTCAACTCTTTAACTATGTCATGGGGTTTTGGGGTTTTGGGGTTTTGGGGTTTTGGGG